CACGCCGCTGGGCAAAGCCCACATAGCTGACGGCAGCGAGATGTAGTTAGTAGTTTTTTTATGTGAGGGGCAACATTGGTGCGGTAGCTGCAGCCCAGGACATGTGGGGCCTAGGAAGGTCTCATCACCTTACGTTTCCTACCTCTAACTCATAAATACCCTGAAACCCTTCTTCGGATTACCATGAATTTTGTTGTTGTCATCACTTTAGGATTCAAGCGCGCGAACCTAATAGTCATGTTTTGGTGCTCCGCCAGAGGGGAATCATCGTCTTCTTCATCCACATCATTCTTCGCCGCCCACATGACGAGGTTCGTCTTCTTCATCCACATCATTCTTCACCGCCCACATGATGAGGTGTGAGTAGTACGTCAATGTGGTGCTTCAAGGAACATATCAATAGATCCAGTAAGTTATTCAATAGATCCAGCAAGTTATTCAGCAGCTGCCCTGCGTTTCTCACTAAAATCAGCAACCAAACCCAGACTTTTGTCCTCCCATCCCATGTGACTATCAAAGCTGCAACTTCATTTACTATCTCAAATGCACTTTTAATAAGTATCTTATGTATGTCCCCAGAAGCCCGATTCTCTCAGTTGATTCTCGTATTTTATCACCAACGAACGTTTCACACATAAGAGCACAAAACAAGAAAGACCTGAATGATTCATTCATCCAAAGCTATTTTGCTCAAATAAAAGAGGGGCCGTTTCTTGACAAGCTACCGCATCGAATTTCTCCAAAAACGTCTCCTACTCAACAGGCTGCTGCTATAGTCTTTCGTAGAAAAGGAGTGTGGCTTCCGCACCCAAAACATCGTCCTCTGACACTTGTGATACATGGTCGTCTGAGACGTAAACCCAGTGCTTGCGACGACGTCCTACTTGATCATTAGCATCAGGAGTTGACACTACTCTCCGGTAAGCTGCATAATGCCCACCTCCGCATACACCATAGTGCTCAACGACAGCTGATAGCCTATACAGCTCCATCCTTGATGAGGACGGCGATGGTGAGGAAGAACTCAAAGCCACATCAGCATTTCCCTGAAAAGATAAAGAGGGTAAATGAATTGATCAGATAAGTAAAATTTTGTATGAAGGAATGTCATTATCATCATTATCCTTAGACAAATCAAGTAAAAAAGAAGTTCAAAAGCAGATAACTTGCCTCATTAAGTGAGTGGACACCACCATTTGTTACTTGATCCTTAGGTGCCTGACTTGATGAGTTCCCACCAGTAGGAAACATATTAATGGGCATGTGTGCATTTAGTTGCCGATAGAATTGGAGAGACGGCGTGTCATATCTTTGCACGTTCATAGCTGAAGGTCCAGGTCCCTGTCCAGTGGTGAATGTGCCTCCTGCAAATGGGGATAAATTGAGAAGTAAAGGAAAAGAAACGTGTCCCTGCAAGCAAAACGCGGATCATTCAGCCACAATTCATATGGAATGAATAGAAAGAGGCAATGTTTTATGTGTCTTTTTTAGTGCTTACCTGACGCTTTACGAGTTCACCATCAAAACTAATAGAAGTACGTAACAAATGAATGCACAAGATCTGGAAGAGGACATCAATAGGTGTCATGCCATTTTTAGATATTATTCTATGTAAGTTTCAGAAGGTGTATTTCAATAGTAGATACCTTCGGACAACGAGTGATAGCCAACTGCTTTGTGGCTTTTGAAGATACTGACCATGTTGTTTTCTCTGGACCAAATAAATGCTTGCAATTGCAACTATCATAGTCGACACAGGTGCGCAGTTTGTTAACTTTTTCCTGGTACAGATGTCAATATGAGGTACCGTCAAACTAAACTGTGAAACAAGTACAACTTCATAGAAAATATGGTCACAAAATTTTACCTCATCAACTTCTGATTGAAGAGAGAAATATTTGGCAGCAGCATTATGCCAACAATGATCACAACGGTAATTGTCAAGATGCTCCAACACAGTGAAATGCTTCAGGCAATCCACCAAACTACACCCATTAATCTGAATTTGGAAAGGAACAAAGCATTATGAATAATGCATGAACCGGAGTATCAACTGATGTACCCTGAATTAAACAAGCTCAGAAAGATTCACTTGGACATACAATATCTCCATTTATATCAGCCACGGGAGAGAGGGGCAAGCAGTGAAAATTCTCGAAGTCCAATGACAGCTGTGAGACATTAAACAAAATGAGGACAGAAAATCAACAGTTCTGACAAAACAAAATATGCATGGTTTCAACAACAATAGAAAAGAGCTAGCTACTCTCTCCGCTACTAGATATATGTAGTCGTAGAGAATTTAAAACAGACTTCTTAACTTCTATCGCTAATAATGTTGTGGAAATGTGGACTCATACAAGTCAGCGGTATGAACACAGAAAAAAACATGAGACACTGCAGGAAACAGCGGTCAGCCGAGGATTCCGGAAAGAGGTCAGCTAGAGCCAAAGCAAATGCATGCCGCATCCATAAGAAAGATTAGGGAAGTAAAGTCACTACATGTTATAGCCTATTAGCCCAGGATGATTCTTTAGCTGAGTCCATGTAGATCTAGGAGCGGTTCAATACAGCAGTCTAAGTAGTGCACATGGAGAACCGAGCGCTGGCTGGATGGCTAGAGCTTACAGGTGTAAGCTCGCCCACCCGCATTCGATCTGCAGGGATGTCTCATTTCTACCTAAATAGTACAGTTAAGGGAGAGAACTACGCCCTTTAACCACATTTTTTAAACTAGTGCATGTGGTTTCAATCAAACAAGAATTAAGTCTCTACCATCCAAAATTCTCTCACTCTAGTCAATTTCTATCCCTCTGTCCTCTAATACCATAATATCCTTCAAGCTATGAAGGCTGGCCACTTTTGGTAGTTCTCCCATGTGAACTATCTAACATTAGTAGATTCCATGAATACATATTTCATATATGCAATATATAGTCATATACTAACATCTAGCTAAAAACACACTAATGGTCCAAGATGTGTTTGAATTTGCCAACAAAAAATGCATCTAGGGTAGAAATAACAATAATTAAATACTCCCTCCGTCCCATAATATAAGAGCGTTTTTTACACTACATTAGTGTAAAAAACACTCTTATATTATGGGATGGAGGGATTAGTTCATAAACCACACGTTTAGAGTTACGAAAAAGAGGCATAGGTATCTACCACAGATGAACAATTTCTGCAAGATAATGTGCTGCCAATAGTCCCATCAAAGGGACCGAATATGTTTTGTTTCCAGCGCTTGCATTCAGGTTGGTTACCTTCCCTTTGCTTGTATACTTTGGAGTGGAACATGGTAATGTCTGCCAGAGAGCTCTTATATGGTACATAGCAATGGGAAAATTCATCCCTCAGTGATGTCAATAGATGAACAAAAGCTTCAGAAGCATCCTATGAGGGCAAAGTACTTCTTATCAAATCCTGGATATCATAGACAAGGTAGGATTTCTAGAGAAGAATAGATGGAACAAAGCATCATGCCTGCTGTCTGGTCAAATTGAAGTGACTAACATAGCAGCTCAAAGGATGCATTACGCTTTCTGGATTCAATACAATTTTTTGATCTCGAACTGTGCTCAAGTCTGCACACATATACGCAGATTCATTAAGTAGTAAAAGAAATTTTAGACACACAAGATAGCACTTTATGAACAATAACAAAACAATGAGCTCGGACATCACAAATAAAGTATATAATTTAAGAAGAAAGAAAAAGAAAATGTTATTTGCAAAAGTTCTTCCAAATAGAAGCAGCAACGGAATGGAGCAACTGCATCATCAAGCACATTAAAACTATGAGCAGCGAGCAATCAATTGCACCAGGTATTACAGTTCCATTATATGGGAATTTAGCACTTGGTCCAACGGATCCATAAATGTGAACAATAAATTGGAGATTAGCTTGGGGATAAGTGGAAAACTGTGTTTAAAAGCCACAGTATGTATCCATTCCACCACCTGGGGACACATTGTGGGGACTATAGAGCCCGGTATTAAAACTACACAAATGCATTTACCGCTGATTCTAGATACACCACTGAATTCCCTAACAGTAAGCTTGAAGATGGTACAAAGTTTAACAGTCCATGTTACCAATATTACCTTTTAAAAGGGAACTTAAAGCAAGGATAAGAGGCATTCTTTCAGACTGTTCCTCGGGTAGCACATCATCACTTCCAAGTAAGTCGTCTAGAGAGGAGACGAAATGGTCGCAGCTAGCAAGTGCCTGTCGAGGAAACATTCTCTGGTTCAGCATGAACTCCAACCCGATAACGATACTCGCACACGATGCACACCGCAATATGGATTCAGTAAAAAAGAAAGGTATGAGCTACCTGCAGGATAACATTGAGAAAGCAATTGTTGCCAAGATTTTGCAGGCCTCCGGTGTAGTACAGCCTCTCTGATTCGGAGGAGAACTTCCGGAGAAACCATTGCACGCCCAAACTGCTATTCAGCGCTCTGCACAACCCAGCAACTCCTATCCCCAGCGCAACAGCAACGGCTGTAAGACTGTAACCATGCCAGTGTCCCTGGCTAAGAGATAGCAGTAGATTGCCGTGCTCGAACTTACCCATGACTCGACTTGCCCTGCCCCACTATCCTTTGCATGAAACAGAATTCAGGAAGCCTAGATTTGTTTCCAATCCAGAGATTTCTGTTTAGCTGTCCGATTCGCCGCACCTGAATCAGTGGAAACAGCTTTCGTCACATTTAATTTCAGAATCCACACGAACGAACCGAACTCTCGCAAAAAATCTAGGGGTTACTCTTACTTACCCAAAAAAGAAAAGAAAAGATAACAGTAAACGGCAGTACAGCACGAGTAGGAGGAGTCCCTGGCTGCGCCCCGTTGGCCGTCGGTGAGACCGCCGACGAGGATGAGGAGGCGAAGCAAGTAGGCCTCCCTTATTGTGTCCCGCTCGCCGTCTCTGGGGCCAGGGAGAGAAGAAGAGCAGACGAGGCTGGGAAGGGGAGGAATCCGAAAAGGCGGACAGGCAGAGGAGAAGAACTCCACGAAACGGGGTATTCGTAGGTGCTCAAGATCTAAACAGTGTCGATCTCGTCCGCTTGATCGCCAGTGCACGGCCCAGATCGTGTGAGACTAAAGACCCTGACCAACTTTGCGCAAGACCCTTTACACCCTTCCGTTCCATAATATGATGCCTATAGGGTTTTTTTTCCTGAAAAAATCAACCTTTGCAAACTTTGACAAAGTTTATAGAGAAACTTATTAATATCTACAATATTAAAAAAGTTAAAATATGAAACTACATCTTATGATGAATCTAATGATGTATGTTAGGCATTTTAGATGTAAATATTTTCCTCCATAAACTTGATCAAAGTTTGTGAGGTTTGACTTTTTACAAAAATCTATATGCACTACATTAATAGATGGAGTATTATTTTTCGACACTACTATAGAGGGAATGTTACCTCCATCTTCCCCTGGTGCGAAGAAACGTTTGCTCACCAGGGGGTTCAAGGCGACGATCGACCGACGTTGAAACATTTTCTCGCCGAGATGAATCAGAGAGACGATCGGCCTGGCGCTGAAATGTTCGCTCTCCCGGCCTCCTACACGCCTCGTTAGCTCTAAGCCATAAACAGCCCACCCCACCCCCTTCCCTCTACTCACCTTCTTCCTTGGCAAAAATGCGCCCAAATCAAGAGGAACGATCTCCTTCCTCCCTGCATCATGCCTCCATGGATTCAAGGCAAACTGCGGCAAGGAAATCCATTGATTCAGCCCTGAAAAATTCAGCTGGGAGATAAATTCACTCCCCCAAGTGCCCCTTCAGAAGCCCCATCATCTACAATAAATCTGTAAAAATATTCTATAATCTGGACTTGTTTGTTATATAGAGGGGGGTCACAAAACAAAATTGGGGGGCATTTTACCCTTACGAAGGCAATATTTTTTTGTGAATACGTAAAGTTTGTGTGTCTTTCATTGATAGAAGAAGTTGAAATGAGAACAAAAGGGGTATATCACATGGCTATCCAAGGATAGTGTAAATATGATGTTCGAAGCATAGAGACATGGGATGATCGGTCCAAACAGAAACTACGACACAATGCTAAACTATCTTGACCAAGAGAAACAACCCGAACCGAAACGACTTCCCGAGTCTTGAATATCATCAGCGTCATCACCGGGTACACCACAAGCAAACAAGATGATGCCTTATGAAGGCGAATGATACATCTTTTTCTTTGTTTCGGAGCGGGCTGCGTACTATTACCACTACGTTCATTTTCTGGCCTTCATGTCGAGTCTTCCTCCGCCGCCAACTCGACGTCGTCATAACCAATTTCAACCAAACCTCCATGCTCACTGACGTTGTTGTCGTCTGATCCGAAGAACCGGACCTGGGGCACAGAGGAAGGTCGTGGCAGCGCCTCCAAGAATGGGATGGCACCCGCAGGTGTCGCCATTGCCAGCATGAGCAAGCCAAGCATGGATTTCACCCTGACTTATAGCCGAACAATCCCAAAACCGTTGGGACAGATCCGAAGACGAGGAACATGTCGCAAGCTGGGCCGCCACATCCAGAAAGGGAGATATGCTCGCTGCCAAAGGGTGACAACGAGGGCCGCTAGACACACGAGCATTGGATCTAGCGGAGGAGGGTGAGGTAGGGGGTGATGGTTAGGGTTGGAGAGGCGACAACAGAGCATAGAGAGCCAACACACGAGAAACGATGACAGCTGGCAACATTGACAAACTAAGATCTGGACTGATGATGCCGAAGCCGCCAAGATGCCAGCAAGCCAAGGAAGCCGGAAAGGGTATAGCTTCCAGAACACCAAGGTCGGAGCTGCAACGGGAAGGACGTCGACAACCCATGGAGAACCTAGGTCCAAACCCGTCGAGCCTAGAGCAGCTATGGCAAGATCCACCATGTGGGTCGCCAAGGACCCCTAGACCCGCGCCACCACCAAGCACAACGGTTGCCTTGCAGGCCCGCACGGGCCCAGATCAGGCCCGCCTATAGCACCAGCACACAAAGCAACCACCGCGCATCATAACGGTCGCCTATTCCCCTGTGTCGCCTGGGAGGGCGAACGGGGGTCAGGAGGGTCAGTTTCGGACGTAGCCATGGTATATACGGCACAAGTAGACCTCCATTACTGAGGCCAGGGAGAGAAGAAGAGCAGACGAAGAATCCACGAAGGTGAATAGGCGATCGTAAGAACTCAACAAGAAGGGGCATCCGTAGGTGCCCAGGATCTAAACAATGTCGATTTTGTCCGCTCCATGCGAGTGAGACTAACGACCCTGACCAGCTCTGGACAAAACCCTTCGTGTTGTTTTTCGCAAACCTTGCCTAAAAGGGGAATTTGATTCTAACCTGAAAATCAGACAGAGTTCGTGTTGAACCTATACGCCCCCAAGCTACCTGAACAGAAGCAAACCAGACTCGAATACAATGAAAGAAGAATTGATGATGCCTTACACCATCAATTAATCAGACTATGGGATGTGTTTTGGTTAGAATACCACCTTATAACGCTTCAAATCTACATAGGAGTATCTTCTATGGAGTTTCTAAGAACCGGCGGTTTTGCGAAGATTGCTTGCGAACCCGTGCCTTCTAGCTGAATCATGGACCGTTTTGCAGGTATAACACTCCATTTTGTTCTCTAGGGTTCACATCTTCTTTTGCTCTCAGAGGCGTCGAAGCCAAGTTCTTGATAATCGCAGCAGATAGATCAAACTCAGCTTTGTACTTGCAGCAGCTGGCCTCGATCCACTGCTCTGCAAGGCTTGTTGATACATTGTCTTGGCTGTCCCTCTCATGTTCTTCAATCGCTGGCCTTATCTCGTCGTACAGGGCATCGATTTCGGCAGTCGCCTGCTTCTTCACTTCCTGCGACATTGGATCAGAAAAAGAGCCATTACTGTGCAATATTTAGAGCTTTCCGCTGCAATTTTCAGGACTAGTGGGTTACTGCTAGTTTTTACCTCACAGAACAATATCTCCTGGCGTGCCGCAGCTGATGCTAACCGGTCACAAATATCTGCAACATTCAATTGCTTGCGCAGACCGCGTTTAGCTTTGCCACCACGAAATTTGGGTGTGGGTCTCACCAGGACCAATTCGGTATGATGGTTATTGTTCTGGGGAGAACTTTGATTCTCAAGCTTCGCAACTTTATGCATTGAATTTTGTGTGGTGTCATCAGAATATTGTGTGCCATATTCGGGCAATCCATTCTCCATAATATCAACTCCCACTGGAACAGCTATCAGTGGTTCAATAGTCATTGGTGTGAGTTCATCTGAGCTAGCCGTCAATGGTTCAACACTCAATGGCGTGAATTCATTTGAGCTTGCAATCTCAGGATTCTCAGTGGTATGCACTATGTTGCTGTTATTTTCTTGGGTGACTGGCTCATCTTTTGCTAGAATGGTGTCCTTCGGAATGCTTGTATGTTCGTCATCAGTAGAGTCATAAAGAGGGATATTTTCAACAGAAAACCTGCCATTAAAGATGGAAAATATTTGCTGCTTAACTGGTGCACAGAACCGTTGATATTTTAGCACTTCAAACAATAAAAGTTTACTTATCACGACAAGTCGACATGGGCAACAGAGGTCTGAATTTTTATGTATTACCTAGTATTTTCAATTATTTGTGATGTAAGTATTTACTGTTTAACTGGTGCTCGGGATTGTTGTCTCCATCAATATTTCAGCACTTCGAACAATAAAAAGTTCACTTATGGACAAGTTGATTTGGTCAACAGAGGTCTGAATATGTTTACTAACCAGTGGGTTCTCAATGCTGATAAATCAAGACATTAAAGTAGCAATGACTAGTTGAGGAGTAGTGAAAGGTTCTGGTGAGGTCTCTATTACCCACACAAAAGGTTGATGGCAAATAGAGTCATCCAAGTAGCGAAAATTATCTAAGCAATATGTATCCTTTGGGCAAACCAGATTCTAATTAGCAAATTGTCCAGGTAAGTAAAATGACAGATTCTCATCAGCCTATGTCAATTAAGCAAAATTCTAAACGACCATCGGTGTGTCAACTTTTATTCCGTACAGCAGACTAACATGCAAGCACAAGGTTACCACAGAAGACTAACATACAAGCACAAGCTTACCTGTCATCATCATCTTCCCACAGGTATGTGGCCTCCTAAAACATGACAGACAACAAAGCACGCATTAGGCAAGTGTCGGACGTTCCAAATATTGACTTAAAAGGAGGATCCAACAATGACCACAAATAAAGAAGTCCTATTAATGAAAGATGACTGGTTCGCTACACTACTTTAACCATGTGACTATTGCAAATAGTGCTCCCAGTTACACTACAATCTCCCGAGAAGGACAGCACAAAAGAATTTTTAGATGAAGCAACACAAAATAGTTGTGTCAGCACGCATGCAAAGGCGGCAAGCCAAAGAACTATCAATGTTTTTGTTCTGAGCATCATCAGTCTACTGGAGAGAAGGGCCAAACTCTACAGTAAATCCCTGCAGCTTTAATTGGATGGTCAGAAAGGTAACAGTTCTTTCTTTTGTCAAACCCTACTGTCAAAACTGAAGCTGAAATAGG